CATTATCGGACTATGAATGCTCTCTCGACAAGTCATATAAGGCGTCGCTAAAAGCGAAGAGAGTAAGGAAAGATGTTGCACAGCTCGGGCAACAATCTAAGCAATCTATCGACTCGCTAGTTGTTGAGGATGATTGTACAAATGCACAAGGCGGTCTAATCGATAGGGAGGTACTCCAAGACTTCATGGCCACAACAGGTCTCACACCTCAACAACTCATTGGGGGAAGATCCATACCTACAGCCAACTTTGATATTTACTGGACCTATCAGTATGGGAGGAGTCTTGTCAACCCTAAGTCCTTGTCATCACTGGGTACGCAAATGTTCATGTTAAACAAGTGGTACTTAAGAGCGTGTGACAACGAAGAGGCATGGCTTGTTGTCAGAATTAGACCAAAGCATTACTCCAGTGGCTATGACGTTTTACATATTGAGTTCAATGAATTACACCAACTATTAAACCGGGACGCTCTCGACAAATCTCTCCTCAGCTGCTGGTGTCTGTAAGTGATTCTTTCTACAATTAAAGTAACTTGCATGTTAATTCGTTGTCTATATATAGTTATCATCACACTATATATATATTCTTTTGTACTATATAAATGCAGATATAAGATGCTGAAACTAAAGAGAAAAGGGTTAACTGATGTTGGTTTTATGGATCCGAATCGCACATTCAAGGACACTATTGCTCCATATGATAGATGGCGACCTCAAGTGGAGAATAATCTGTTTAAGTTTTTAGATAACCAACATAACAAGACACTGTTACTCTTCCCTTACAACTTCAAGTGAGTGTTAATGTCTTGTGCCCATTATATTTTTGCTTACTCCATGTTGACTTTAGTTAATGAGTTATGCCTGCGTATAACATGTAGCTATCACTGGATACTGCTGATCATCGATATGCCTAGGAGTACTGTAAAGATCTTTGACTCAGCGACAAAACCCCGAAAAGATTACCAAGAAATCATAGATATTCTCCAGTGGTAATTTCTTTCTCGCACACTATATACTCTCTTATGTCATTTTATTGATATAACTCTATTTATTTATTTTGTTGGGCAGTGCTTGGAAAAGGTTCGTCGAGAAATGCCATTATGGTCAATGGAAAATGCCTCTGAATGTAGTCCAATACCCATTAAGTATTAGCTAGGTCACCATATCTTTATTTAGTTCAATTCATTATTACCATGCTTCATTGGTTGATGATGAATCTTTTTCTCATAAAGTGGTGTCTACAGTAGGGATCGTGGAACAACTTATGTGCATACTACGTCTGCGAGTTCCTTATGGAGTACTCAAGGAGAACAAGTGAAGAGATTCTCGAAGTACGTAAAAAATATACACAATTTATTTATTACCATTGTGTTGATATATATAATCATATATATATATATATTCATACTTTTACTTTTATTCGAATTGAAGATTGAATGGAGGAAGCAAACGGTGATACGATGTGACCAGATCAAAGCAAGGCAGGATTTCTTATGGATGAGGTCATAGATCTCAAAGGCTCGTACCACTATGGCCCTAAAGAATTAATACCTAGTATCCATACGACTGAAGATTAGGGTTGAATAAAATCCCAAAGAGATGAGTACAAGGTTTTTATGACTTTATTATGTATATATTCCATGCATGTACAACCTCTTAAAATATTTGTATATATGTAGTTTCATACATTTTAGTGTGTTATTTATGTATAATGCTCGAACGAAACCTTATACGTGGACGTATATTAGCAACGTAGAATTCATATACGAAAAGCTAATCGAAACCAAAAAAAAGAATTGAATTAAAAAGAAATCATAGAATGAAATGAAAAAAAGAACCTTTACTACCGGTTGGGAACACCAACCGGGACTACAGGTGTCAGCCCCGGTGTAATGCCGAGGGGGCATTTAGTCCCGGTTGATAATATCAACCGGGACTAAATATCCACTCTCAGTTCCGGTTGCTAGAACCGGGACTAAAGGGAGCCTTTAGTTCTGGATTCACAATCCCGGTTGAAAAACCCCTAAGAAATCGGATCTAAAGGAGGTTTCCCAACCGAGACTGATGCCCAGTCCTGCACCAGCGCTGAAACCGTTCCTGTATGAACAACCAGGAAAACACACACTTGCATAGCAAGGCACCACGATCATAGAAAGCTATGGCTACATGATCTGCATTCAGAACTGTCCACCCACGCTACTACATCAATTGTAGCTTCGACATGTAGTCCTTGGATCCGACGATTTTCATCGATCAGTAAGGTTGCATCTTGCTTGTCGGGATCTCGAACTCACAAAAAAAAATCGCACTACCAAAGTGGTGGACTTCTCCTAGTATTTTTAAGTAGTAATAAAACACTACTACTGGTCAAAGAACGTGGAAATCTCACTATAAGGTATTTAGTGGGAAAAATTTATACTAAATTTTAAATGCTAAAACACTAGGAGAAGCCCACCTCATTAGGAGAAATCTAAAATTCTGGTTGTGCGAGTTGAATTTGATTGATCCACACCCAATGGCCATCCCCACGAACAAAGCTGATATGGTGTTTTAGCATATGACTCGCAGCCAGCAGCTCAGCACCACCCGTTGTCTGTGTTGGTGGTCTTCACGCTGCCGCACTCACGCCTTGTTCGCCTGCTCGCCGGCATCACCCGAACGCCCCCAAGGCATCGCTGTGGCCTGCACGCCATCGGCTCATCTGTCATCCACCCGTGCGCACTGCTCCAGAAGTAGAAGTCCAACACTTGCACGGGTAGAAACTGGAAAGAGGAGGAAGTTGATGGCTATGCATGTTTGTTCACTGCTCATAGGCCAAGCCAAGTAAAAGGTTCTGCACGTGCATGATCGGACCACAAGGGGAGAAAACGGGATTGAATTGGCCCAATAGTAAATTGGGTTGTGGATAAATTAAGAAAAATTTGGTAAAACTCCAGAAGGAAAAGGGCCGTACTCTTTCGTGCAGAATTATGCATAAATTCTGTATTCTTGAAGAATAGTAACTGGATTTCTTTGAAATTACGGTTTTTGGGTGAACCCCTTAGAAAAAGGGGAAGCTATGGCATATTCTGAATATTTATGAGATAATCCATGTTCATTATGAAAATTGCATGGAACACTAAATGAAGTAAGTAAATCCTTAGAAGAGATAAAAAAAATTCCTGCAGAATAGTGTGTGTTGGCATTTTGATAGTAAACATTTTTTTATATATATTTACAATATCATTTTCCTATTCATGTATAAATGCCATGTGTTGATATTCTTATTCTATTTTAAGAGCATTTATTTATCACACATTACAAATTATATGCCATGAAATGAAATTGTAAGAATAAATGATTACACTAAAACATGGTGTAAGGTGTATGAGCTCTCTCTAAATCCTGTAGACCTTAGACTTATCTCCTTTGAGAAGCTCATATTTATTTTTCCTAGCATAAAAAACTTTTGGGATGAACGAATGTTTGGTATTAATTATAAGAATTTACATATATCATAACCTTGAAAAATGTTAGGATGCTTTTAAGAATATTTTGTATAACCATCCACTACCTTTTGCACCTTGCTACTTGTTTACATGCAGTAAACCTACACGTACATGATGATTCTAGTTATAATGTTATATATGCATACCTTCACGAAGAAAGAATATCCTCGACTTGGCCTCAATGACATTATTATATAGCATGGTCATTGTTAAATCCTAGTAGAATATTGTACTACCACTAAAGTGGAGTAGACTCAGGCATTATAGTTCCTAGTATTACTCTCGAGAATGAGTATGTGGCCATAATAAATCTCAAAGGTCTCGTGAGACTCACTGCATGAGAAATTTTAGAAGGTATCCCATATTATGATTGCATAATGTCAGAAATATAGACCATAAGAGATATATACGCTGCTCTATAAACAAATACAATGACATGAAGCTTTGAATTAAATGTCATAGAAAACAAGATGGTAAATAAGATTTTATCAATAAATATTCTCGAAGAAATATCTCTTGTATATAGAATATCAAAGAGCAATGAAATACAAGAAGTATTTAAATTTATCATCAGAAATTACTCAAATAGAAGTTGAGTTAGAATATTTAGACAGTTCTATGAACCAGGATATATGACTTGCATATGTTGGACTCCTAAAAGGATCAAGATTACATATCACCACTATATGAAATAAAGCATGCATGAAGCTGCTAAATGTCAAGCATAGAAGCTAAGACATGTAAGAATGGATAATGAATTTTTAAGGTTTCTCTATAAGAAAAACCATGTGCTTACATACTTGTATTGTCTTTAAACTTATATACTATATAGAAGTATTAGTATAGTAGTGGTGGTGCATTAAATTTTAATTCCCGTTGAATTAAGTGGTTAATGATTACTTTATTAGCTTGAAGACTAATATGAAGCATTTATTCTTAGTTGCAATTCTTACCTGCAGTAATATGTGTTAATCTTGCGTGGAATGAATTAGATTTATATGTTATACATATAAACAATTGCCATTTTTTGTCTATCTAAATAAGTTTTGAATTAATTTTATCCACAGAGAATCATTTTATCATGAATGTTACAGTTCTTTGTGCACAACTATCATATAGGTAGAAGAGAAATTGAATTTCCTATAAGCACGTGAACAGTTGGACTATCGACGAATTAACATATCTTAGACGGATCAATATAACCATGAAGGTTACCGACGGGCGGAGGATGATGTCGAGGTGCTCATCGACGCATGGCGGGAGAAGAATCAGTGATGGAGGCAGCAGTGGGGCTCTAGCCCCCCCTATGATCCTGGGTACGTGGAGCCTCCCTAAGCCCTTTCTTGAAATTTTATGCATATATGTATTAAGTAGGAGGAGCTAAGGTTAAGAAAAGATAAAAAAATCTCTTTTCTTTTGTTTAGCCCCTCCTAATTTTTTTCTCAGGCTTCGTCACTGAGAAGAATATCCAGAAAGGGGGGAGAGAAGGTCGGAGGCTGGTTGGGGAACGATGACGCCTTCCCGGCGTTATCCCAGAGCCAGCGACGGCAGGAGCGAGCCCGAGGCTTTGGTGTCCCCATGGATGTTCAATCCTGGGAAATCAGGTATGCGGTGGAGACGGGCTCGATTCCTTTTGAAGAAATCAAGCAAAATTCTTTTAAAATCAAGGAAATCCCGATTCAGTTTCGATGGCCCAGCCATGGCGGCTCGTCGTCGTCCGTGTCCCCATCGGCGGGAAAACATGATTGCTCTGTGATTCAATTGCGGGTGGAGCCAACCAGTCCCAGACGGTGGTTCCGCTCACCACCAAAAGTCCAGGAGGTCGTGGGAATCCTACAGCATGTTCGTTTAGCTGAGCTGGATCATTGCTAGTTTATGAAGATGTACTGCTGACTATTTTAATATGAGAGAAAAATAGTGTTTGAAATTTACGATCGTTTACGAGCAAGCCAGCCCAGCCCGGCCACGGACCTGCTGTTGTGACACGCGGCGGTCATCTGGGTAATGGTGAGCGGGAGGTGGGAGATGATCCCGAGTCTCAGGGATCGATTCCACACACCATTCCCCTTTGTCCGGGAAACCCTAGCGGCGACGCTCCGAACAAAATCCTCATCAAAATCGGTGGACATTTTTGGGGAGGTAAACCTGTGAGATCTTTTGCGGCCGCCGTTCGAGCCGAGTCGGCTCCTACGGTCTCGGTCAGGATGAATCGTGGTGGAGGGTATCGAGGCAACTACGGCACCGCTCAAGATGGTTTTGGTGCTGGCCGGCAGGGGAGGGGGCATGGCCGTACTACTGGCCGCAACCTCACCTGGGAACGCACCAACAGAGCACCACCGGTTCAAGAAGAAGCTATCCAAGAAGAAGAGTAGGAGCAACAATCCAATGAGAAATGGGAAGGATCGAAAGATCAGCAAAAACATCCTGAAGAGCAGTGGGGCAAGAAAGCTTCCAAGGAGGTCTCTGAATCTTCTCAAGGTAATAAAGTTTCTCATGCTCAGGACACCGAGGCTGGTTCTTCCAATCAACCTAGGGGTCCTTGTGAAATCTGTGGGTTGTTTAACCATGCCACCAAAGACTGTAGAAGGTTAAATTGTGAAATCTGTGGCGTCCATGGCCATATGGCTTATGATTGCAAGAAGTGCATTCCATGGAACTGTGGTCCAGAATTATGTGCAACTCAAGTTGAGGATCAGAGCTTCTTCTACATTGATGAAGATGTTGATCCCAGGATGGCTAGGGAGAAGGAATGTACTGCTGTTATCTCTATTGTTTCTGAACAGGCTTCTGGTAAGGACATTGAGAGGCAGTTCATTAATATTCATGGTACTGAGACCTGGAGATGGACTGCTCGACCTATAGGAGAGAACAAATTTGTCATGAGGTTCCCAAACCCCAAGATGGTCAAGGAGTGGAGTTTCTTCCCATCTATTGCTATGAGATATGTTAATGCTCAGATGAAGATTGATTCCTACACCACAAGCTTTGGAGCCAAAGGTGAGCTTCAACAGGCATGGTTCAGAGTATGGGACATTCCTGCTGACCAGAGGTCAATCAGAACCTGTGCCAAGGTTGGTGGCTTGGTGGGTAAGGTGCTTGAGATTGATGAGAGGACCAAGCTGAGACATGACTATGTTAGGATGAAGATTGCGTGTAGGGACATTACTAAGGTTCCTAAGACCGCTGAAAGCACCCTGGGGTTGTTCCTCCATGATTTTACCTATGAAAGAGTGGTTAGGTTGAAGGGCCTATCAAGACTCTGCAAAGTGGTATCAAAATATCTGAGGGAGAGCAGTCCCCACCATCCAAGAAATACAAAGCAGATGACAATCTTAGCAAGGATCCCCAAGCAAAAGCTGCTGCTCAACTTGGTGGTAAATCTGCTAATCCAGGGTCTGATAAAAGTGCTGGTAAGAAGCATTTTGCCAATGTTACTATGTCTGCCCCACCCAAGATTGGCAATTTGAGTACTGCTGGAGGGAAGCTGAGTGTGCAGAAGGCCTATGAGGATGATGGTAAAGGTGAGAAAGTACACATTCCTGAAACATTTGAAGACTCTGATTCTGACAGTGATCTGGGTGAGAGAATCAGAAAATTAGAGGGCTTTGGTGATATTGGTCAGGGTAGCTCCAAGCAGAATGATGATAAAGATACTCAGCATATTTGGTGTATGGAAAACAACACTCCTGCTTTGGATCTGATGCAAATCACCAATGATGCTAAGAAGCTCAAGAATGCTGAAGAAAAGGATGTGACAACTATGAAGCAGTTAGTTTCTGTGGAAATCAACAATCAAACTGAACTGGACTTCTCTGATGAGGCTATTGTGCACACTCAGGAAAGCTTGGTTGCTGAAGATGAGATGGTAGTGCAAGAAGAGCTGCCAGAACCACAAGATTCTGTCACTAATGGAGGGGCTACTGCTGGCAACACTCTGAAAATTCAAGAAATCCGAAGAAGTGAGAGGCTCAAAAAGGACATTGCTGTAGCTATCCAAGAGAAAAATGAAAGGATGGCTAGAAAAAGGAATTTGGAAGGTACTAACTCTTCTCCTATCATGTTTTCTGATCTACCTGTTGAAACTATTAAAAGTTTGTCTAGTGATATTGGCATTGCTACCCAACAAATTAGTTTTGGGACCTTTGACATTCTTAAGGATTTAGAAAATGCTAGGAGAAACTTACAGTCTAAACAGCATGATGTTATGTTAGAAGAAATTAATGAGGATGACACTGCAGAAGATGATATCAATGAAAGGCTTATTGAATGGCTAAAGGATGACCTTTCTGGGACAGAAAGTGAAATCCTGGCCCAGTCAAAGGAAAAAGGAAAACTGTCTAAAAGAAAACTCAAAATCTCTCCAAAAAACAAAAAAAGAACTCAAGACCAGGAAGATCTTGGCTTGAAACCCAAGGGAAAAGAAGGTAAAGTTGGCCTTCAGTCCCCAAAACAGAAAAAGAAAAAAGTGAAAAAATGACAGTACATGGGTTAATTTGGAACTGTAGGGGCCTTAAAAAATCCGGGGTCTTTACTTTCCTGAAGAATCTCATCTTTCAATATAATTTTGACTTTATTGGGTTACAAGAGACAATGATTGAGGATTGTGAACCATCTTTACTTAGGGGTTTTGATTCTTATCAGGATTACCTTTGGGAATGGATTCCTTCCAAAGGTAAATCTGGTGGGATCCTGGTGGGCATACAGTTAAATAAATATGATGTTGGTTCCTTCAAAAAAGGGGAATTCATGATTCAGATGAATTTATGGGACAAGGAGCTTAAAATTAAATGGAATCTTTTGGTAGTATATGGCCCTGCTCATGATGATCAAAAGTTTGATTTTCTATCTGAATTGTCCAGATTCTGTGATGCTAGTACTGAACCTGTCTTGATTGGTGGGGATTTCAATATCATTAGATATGCAAATGAAAAAAACTCCAATAAAGGGGTACATAGGCATTCTGGGTTATTCAATTCCATTATCCACTTCTTTGAATTGAGGGAACTGATTATGACTGGTGGCCTTTTTACCTGGTCTAATAATCAAGAGCCCCCAACACTTGAAAAACTGGATAGGATCCTTGTCTCCAAAAGTTGGGAAGATATTTTTCCTCTTGCTGTGGTTAGAAAGTTACCTAGAGAAATCTCTGATCACAACCCTTTGATCATTTCTACTGGGGTTCCTAGAAACAGGACCAACATCCAGTTCAAATTTGATTTAAGTTGGCTTAACAACCCAGAATTTTATTCTCTGGTGGATAAAATCTGGAGTAAACCATGTAAGGCTAAATCTGCCTTAGATAAAATTCAACAAAAGATGAAACTAATCAAACAGTTCTTTAAAGGATGGGGACACAACAAACAAGGGGAAGTTAGGAATCTTAGGAAAGAACTCCACATTGAATTGACTGCTTTAGAAGAGTTGGAAGAGAGTATGATCCTGACAAGTGAGCAGATTTTCAGAAAACACTGGATTTTGTGTGAAAATCTTAGATTGCTGGAACAAGAAGAATTATATTGGCTCCAAAGAAGTCATGAGTCATGGCTTCTTAAGGGAGACATCAACACTGAGTATTTTCATAGATGTGCAAATGGAAGAAAAAGAAAAAAATACCATTATAACTCTGGAGAATGAAGGAACATGCATTGAAGGAGATGACAATCTGTTAAGACATGCTTCTGAGTACTATTCTGATCTGTTTGGTCCTGTACCTCAGCATGGCATTCATTTAGAACCTTCAATCAGGAATAATTGTTACAAATTATCTGATTCAGATAATGAAATTCTATGCCAGCCTTTTTCTGAGACAGAAATTAGGGCTGCCTTATTCCAGATGAAGAAAAATAAAGCCCCTGGTCCTGATAAGATGCCCATTGAATTCTTTCAGAAATGTTGGAGCATTATCAAATCTGAAGTAGTCAAACTGTTTGATGACTTCCATAACAACAAAGCTGATATCAGCAGGTTAAATTATGGGATCATTACACTTCTGCCAAAGATTAAAGAAGTAAACAAGATTCAACAGTACAGACCCATTTGCTTACTCAACTGTTTATATAAACTGATCACTAAAGTCCTCACCATTAGAATTGAGCCATATGCTGACAAATTGATCAACAAGGCCCAAACTGCTTTTCTCAAAGGAAGAAATATCCTGACTGGCATTATGTTTTTGCATGAGATTCTTCATGAAACCAAGAGGAAGAAAGAAGTTGGGATCATTTTAAAACTTGACTTTGAAAAAGCTTATGACAAGGTAAATTGGAATTGCCTATTTGAGTACATGCAAATGAGGGGTTTCAGTGAGAAGTGGACTTGGATTGCTCAAGTAGTCACTGGTGGGACAGTTAGCATTAAAATGAATGACAAATTGGGATCTTACATCAAGAGTTACAAGGGGGTCAGGCAGGGAGACTCTCTGTCCCCCATTCTTTTTAATTTTGCCGCGGATAACTTAACTAAGATGGTAGAGAATGCTCAAGAAAGAAATTTATTCACTGGTTTGATTGATCACATTATCCCAAATGGAGTAGCTATATTACAATATGCTGATGACACTATTGTATTCCTCAAACATGATCTTGAGGGTGCCAGGAACCTGAAATTACTCCTATACATGTATGAGTTGATGGCGGGTTTGAAAATAAACTTTAATAAAAGTGAGGTATTTGTGATCAATGATAATGATAATTGGGGTCAACTGTATGCTGATATTTTCAATTGCCAAATTGGCTCCTTCCCTATTAAGTATTTAGGAGTTCCTGTAAGCCCCAGCAGACTTCATTTAAGTGACTGGGCACCTTTGGTTGATAAAAGTAACAAAAAATTAGATGTTTGGAAAGGGGGCACAATGTCAATAGCTGGAAGGTCCACTTTGATATGCTCTGTATATTTGTGTCCTAAGACAATTTCTGAAAAAATTGATAAGATTAGGAGAACTTTTTTTGGCAAGGTGGTGGGACCAAGAAAAAGTACCATTTGGTGAAGTGGGTTAAAATTTGTAGAAGTAAGAAAAAAGGTGGCCTTGGAATCAAGGACCTAAGGAAGATGAATATAAGCCTACTAGCCAAGTGGTGGTGGAAATTGGAGCAGGAAGAAGGGTTGTGGCAGGATATTGTTAAAGCAAAATACCTTCACAACAAATCAATTCATTCAGTAACTCACAAAGCCACTGATTCACCTATTTGGTATGACCTTCTCAAAGTCAAGGAGGTATACCTTCAGGGTAGGGGGATTAGCATTCATAATGGGAAAAGAACTAGGTTCTGGTGTGATCCTTGGTTGTATGATAAGCCCATCTCATTTATTGCCCCCACCTTGTTTATTCTGTGTGAACAAAAAGAGGTAAGTGTTGCTGAAGTAAAAGAGGGCA